CTCCATCTTAAAAAACTAGAAAAGGAAGAACAAATAAAGCCTAAGGTAAGCAGAAGGAAAGAAATAATAAAAAAAAATAGGTCAGAACTATATGAAATAGAAAACAAATAAACAACAGAAAAAATAAATGAATCAAAGAGCTGGTTCTTTGAGAAGGTTAATAAAATTGACAAATCCCTGGCTAGACTCACTATAGAAAAAAGAGAAAGGACAGACATAAACAAATCAGGGATGAAAGAGGGGAAATTATGACAGACACCACAGAAATACAAAGGATCATACAAGAATACTATGAAAAAATATATAACACCAAATTTAATAACCTAGAAGAAATAGACCAGTACTTAGAAAAAAACAACCTTCCTAGACTGAATCAAGAAGAACTGGACTATCTAAATAGATCAATCAGCAGTATGTAAATTGAAACAATCATCAAAAACCTACCAAAAAGTAAAAGTCCAGGACCAGATGTCTTCACCAGTGAATTCTACCAAACATTCAAAGAAAATTTAATACCTATTCTCCTCAAACTCTTCCAAAAAATCAAAAAAGAGGCAATACTTTCCAACTAATTTTATGAGGCCAATATTACCCTGATACCAAATCTGGTAAAGATAACACACAAAAAAGAAAACTACAGACCTATATCTCTCATGAACACAGATGCAAAAATTCTAAATAAGATGCTAGCAAACCAAATACAGTAACATATTAAAACATTATACACCATGATCAAGTGAGCTTCATCCCAGGAGCACAGGGATGATTCATCATACGCAAATTGATTAATGTGATATACTAAATAAACAAATTAAAAAATAAGAACCATATGATCTTATCAATAGAGGCAGAAAAAGACTTTGAAAGATACAGCAACCATTTATGATCAGAACACTTAACAAAATCGGTATAGAAGAAAAGTACCTTAACCTAATTAAGACCATATATTACAAACCCTCAGCCAACATTATACTTAATGGTGAAAAACTAAAAACCTTCCCTCTAAGATTAGGAACAAGGCAAGGCTGTCCACTATTGCCACTAGAAAGATATAAAAGGCATCCAAATAGAAAATGAAAAATTCAAACTGTCACTATTTGCGGATGACATGGTTTTCTATATAAAATCCCTAAAGACTCCACAAGAACACTACTAGAAACAATAAGCAAATACAGTAAAGTCTCTGGATACAAAATCAACCTTTGAAAATCCACAACATTCATATACTCATAATGCAGTATTAGAAAAAGAAGTGGAAAAAACAATTCCTTTTGCAATTGCAACAAAAAGAATAAAATACCTAGGAATAAATCTAACGAAACACTTGAAGGACCTATATAATGAAAACTATAAGACCCTATTAAAAGAAATCGAAAACGATACAAAGAAATGGAAAGATATTCCGATTCCGTGTTTTGGAAGAGTCAACATAGTTAAAATAACCATATTACTTAAAGCATTATACAGATTTAATGCAAATCCCATCAAAATCCCATTGGCATTTTATTTTTAATAGAACAAAAAATCATCAGATTTGTATGGAACCACAAAAGACTCCGAATTGCCAAAGCCATCCTGAGAACAAGAATGAGGCTGGAGGCATCACTCTGCCCCACTTCAAATTATACTACAAAGTGACAATAATCAAAACGGCATGGTATTGGCAAAAAAACAGACACACGGACCAGTGGAACAGAATCGAGAGTCCAGAAGTAAACCCGTATTTATATGGACTAATACGCCAACAACATA